TATATATATATATATATATATATATATATATATATATATATAGTCATTGGGGTATAAATAGAGTTCTGCGCTTCTCAAAAACACCATGTTGCCGTTTGTACAAAGAAGTTGATGTGTTTATCAATGACAACACGAGAAATATTCAGTAATATTTAACATATTTTTTTCGTTCTATTTCACTCTAGTTATTGGCCAATTTGTGTCTGCCCATGTGCTAGTGGCTCCGTCGACCCACAACCGAAACGATACTCAGTCATTTGGCTGACGGACATTTAACCGAATGGATATTCAGCCGAAATTATAATGGCGTACTTACAGGTATATCACACTCTTTATCGTAATGTGCAACATATATTTATTTTTATTTACTGTATTAATTTATAATTTTCGATTTTTTTTGTTAGACCTTTTTTTTAAAAAATCTATTCTGTACATATTATATTTTACTTCAAATATTACTCTAAGATGATAATTATTTTGAGAAAAAGCACTTTTTACTACGGCAAAAATCTCAAGATTTTACGATATGAAAAGTCTTTCAAATTCGATTTTAATGATCATTATCTTAAAGGGATAAACTAGCTATTATCTTACTGTTAAATACGAATTTAAATTATTAGGCGCTACAAATACACTCAAATTTAAAAAAAATACTAATTTCAATAAACAAATATTGAAATAAGAAAGCTTTTAACATTAAATTTAGTCATTTCCAAAATCACGCAAAAACATCTTGAAGTACTAAAGAGTAAATTTATTCAATAAAATCGCCATTGGCTTCAACCACGGCCTCCAGAGTGTTTCGGAATTTTTTTGCAACTCTTCTGAACGATCTCCTTGTTTAAATTGGTGAATGCTGCAGTAACCCTTGCCTTCAGTTCATCTTTGGTGTTACAAGGAGTTTTGTTGGTCTCTCGCTGAACTGCATCACACGCATAATAATCAAGGACGTTTGCAGTCTGGGGAGTTAGGTGGCCAGATGTAAGGGATGATGTGAGCGGAGTAATTGTCTGACAGCCATGACTGGGTTCTCCTGCTTGTGTGACATGGTGCAGAGTCCTGTTGCCAACCAGCCACATGGCCCAGGGCAGCACTACGTCCTCAAGGCACTTAGTGTAAGGCTTTGTGTTGAGTGAGTCCCTTCGGGAAGCTGAATGGAGGCATAATGTCGCCATCACTAGCGATCCCTCCAAACACATTCGTAATCACCATGAGACTCATCCAACTCTTTCCGAATCCTCTGAACTCTTCACAAGTTGACATTCAAACAATCTCAAATGTTCTTATTGCAGCTTCCAGCGCGAATGCCAAGTAGTACAACATGTATTTTCCAAATTTTGGGCGGAGAGAATTGCGTCATTTTTCTCTCAGACGGTATCAAACCGACCCTACCATACTGTGCAATCGACAAAATAAAGTATATAAAAAAAACAACGCGCATGCGCGAAATTAAAAATATAAAATGTCGACAATTTATCCATCGCACTTTGTATTTTATCTCGGCTGTAACTTAATATTTCTCTTCGGTGTAATTGTAAAAAGTTATGCAACGAAACCTTGCAACTACAGAGATTTAAGTATTAAACACACACTGAGAGATCGTGCCATTTAGAGGCGGCCTGATAATGGTAAAAACGGCAGACTCAATCGTTGCAGGAGAACCAACGCATTTGAAATCAAGCGATTACATTACCTTGTTTATATTAGCTTGTTGGCGATATCTTTCGAAGAACATTCTCTTAGTCTATGTTATCTTAAATTTGTCGCATTAAATCCTCTTTTCAGGTAATTTGGCTAAAATCAAACACTGATTTTTGCTCAAGACAGCTCAACAAATCTTAAAAATAAAATAAAGAATTTCCAGTTTAAATTAGAAAGAACGCCGTTTAAATATATTTGGATAGAGTAAATGATTATCGCATTTCTGCGAAAATATCTTCATAAGTCCGCATTTAATTTTTCTTCAAAAAACAGCAAATTTAATTGAAGTTCTTACAGAACAATAGTTAGAAACAGTTAGTAAAAGAAAGGTATGAGTTCCACAGAACATTTTCAGATAAAAATTAAGAATACTATCAGTTAATAGTGGCAATAAAATTAAACGACTATAGTGGAATTATTATTATTATTATTATTATTGAATTTAACTAGTTTATTTTATTAAGCTTAAGTTAGAATGGCACAAGCATACAAGTGTGGGGAACTAACCCAGTGAGGTTCAAACTCTCTATTCGTTTGCGTTTAATAGAGGGTGTTTTTATTTTAGTTCATTTTTTAAGCATTTCTCGCCAAGCAAGGCGAGAGTGCCACTAGCACGCAAGGGATTACAGAGAGTGAGAGCAAGAGTAACAAGGGGTGTTTGAGAAAAGGATGTAGAGAAGGACTGGGATCAGTGTCAAGGTATCAGAAGATGTCGATTGACATTATATTTGAATATGTGAAGATTATAGCTATCAGGGAAGCAAGTAAGAGGAAGGGAGTTCCACTGTCAGGAAGTGCGAGAGAAGAAGCTGTTGGAGTAGAAAAGACGGTTATATTTAACTGTTTCGACAGTGAAAGTAATGCCAACCTAGTAGCATGCTTAAATTAGTGCAGTTGGGGTACCAGTGAACGTGGCTCGTCAGAGCAGTTGCCATGAAAATACATGTAGTAGAGACAGGGGGAAACCATAGCCTGACTAGGAGAAAGTAATTGTAGACGAGATGCCAGATCAGGATCTATCACATTGCATATCCGTCTGTGGATTTTGTCGGGGACCTCGAGATGAACAGCGGGGGAACCATATATGGCAACAGTATTCAATGCAACGGCGAATGGTAGATTTGTAGATTTTAACATGGATTCAGGCGAGAAAAATCTTCTGGCGTGATACCAACTTTCCTTGCAGTAGATGAATCTATTGATTCAATGTAATTGTTCCACCTCAGGTCAGTGGTAAGCATGAGACCAAGAAGGCGCAAGAGAGATGCTCACGTGGAGTTGGGCATCAGCCATCTTGATAGGAGGCAGGGAGGGTTCTCTATGGTGGGAAAATGAGAGCAGTTTCGTTTTAGAGTCATTAAAGTTTACAAGCCATTTCTTGCCCCAATCAACCACAGATTGCAGGTCCTTTTCGGCAAGGTTAGCTTTGTCAGCAATGCCGGATTCTGAGACGCGAGTAAATAGAACTGTCGTTTGAGTAGATTCCTATTTGGGAACTGATGACATCAGTAAGATCATTGATGAAAATCAGAAACAGTGCAGTACCCAGGATATTTATTTACTTTTATTTTTAGGAAATTTTCCGGAACCGCTCTGAGCGAAATAAGACTTCATTGTTTATTAATTGATCACTGTTTGACATTTAAAATGATTTTCTAAACCACCCTTTTATGATGACCGTCCTGAGCAAGACGATAAACTACATCCGCGTACTGGGTAAGATGATAAAATACGTCCACCAGCAAGATTTTGAGGAGTGTGTTCATAGATCCACCCTCAACCGAGGTTGTAGCTTCTGTTAGGGTCCCAATTATAGGCAAATAGCTAACCCCCAAACTGGTCAAAACGCTATGAAAGTGTAAAAAATATGTTTTAATACCAGCAATAAATTTTTTGAGGAAAGATTATTACCAGCAATACATTTTTGAAGAAAATAAATATTACCAGTAGTACACTTTTGAAGAAAAAAATATTACCAGCAATACATTTTGGAAGGAAAAAGTACTACTATCAGTACTTTTTTGGAAGAAAAATTATTACCAGCAATACATCTTTGAGGAAAAAAATATTACCAGCAATATATTTTTGAAGAAAAACTATTACCAGCTATAGATTTTTGTAAATAATTATTACCAGCAACACATTACAACCAGCAATACATTATTACCAGCAACACATTTTTGGAAAAAATATTACCAGCAATAAAAATCTTGTCGGCATTAAATAACTCATTGAGGTTGATAGGACGTAAACCAAACCAAACCAAACCAAACCTTTTATGTTGACCCCTTTCAGTTTATTACATATTGAGAAAAATATCCAACCCTCCCGTTTATTAATAGCCTTATGTTTGCATTAAGCACCTAAGAGTACTCAGTATTAATGGTCAACATATTAAAACCAGGTTATCTATTACTCAACGCCAAACCCTGCACAGACATCTTGAATTTGACCCGATAAGAATTTTGATTAGAATGACTGAGTCTCTTGTTACGACGAGAGGACCCTGAAAATTCGCAGACACCTTTCAACTTGCCAAAATTTAACCAAATAACTTTTAACAAATTTATGATTTCAGTACAAACAAAGCTCTAATCTACGACATCAACGTACTTCGGATGCAACGGACAAAATCTGCAGGCGAAATAAAAAAAATACTATGCCGGCAAAAATCTTCCAAATCGTCAGCGATGTATTTCAAAATGTAAAGGATTAGCGGAAAGAGTCGTATTATCCCTCAAATGAACGCTTGGCGGCGGTGACGGGCCTTTCAATTGTAAAAAAGACGGAAAGTACGATACATTAGTATGTGCGTGACAAAGTAGCTGTGAGAAATCTATTATTTTTGTTATTTTGATTCATTTATCTATATTAAGTATAAATTTATTTATGCCATATATAAATGTTTATAGTATTTATATTATGACCATAACTACTGGTAGTTACTTCCTTCCCATTTCCGGACAATCGGCTTTAACGGACCACCCTTCCCCCCTATTAATCCAGAGCTTTGTTTGTACTTTGACTTTGTCTCTGTCAAATAGATTGATAGTTTTCTTCGCTTTATCAACGCATTGCAGGTTATTTAATGCTAGAACACATTTTAGATTGTAAGAAAATTTTTTGAAGGTTAAAATAATTTATTGATACAAATCTTACTGATTAACCCATAGTTGGAGGGAGAAGAGGTGGGTTCGTACATTTTCCAAGGGGTTTTGCGTGTAAGTGAATATAACGAACCCAACTAGAATTGGAAAATGACTCGCCGATTAACAATTTCGAGCCGTTATCCATCCAAGCTTACAGCCTCTGGCATTCCAAAGCGATCACCCATCTAGGTACTGACCAGGCTTGACATTGCTTAACTTCGGTGACCATACGGGAATCGGTGTTTTAACGTGATATGGTTGTAAACCTCTGTATCACCAGCCGGTCTGGAATATAATAAGTAGCTATCTGTTTCTGGTTTTCCGCTTTCAATCTGTGTAAAAGGACTGCGAATGCTTCATACTAAAACACACCAACACAGTAAGTCCCACTCGGATATATTCCCGAACATTTAGTTGTGTATATAATCTACATCTAAAAAAGAAACTCTTGTTTTAAACTTTTCTTTTTTCTTTTTTTTTTTTTGATGTTGTCCAATAAATGTTATCTTTCATTGCAAATCAATTGATCTGTTATTGTGTGCATGTACCCTTTTTCACCACCATTATTTCATGTACTATAAAACGAGTAACTTAGAAACCTTACACATTTAATTATTGAAATAGCCAATGCACTGAAGACGGAGAGAAAGCATTCCATGAAGATATTTAAGGAACAGATCGAAATGATAGTATGCAGACTATCATGAACGTGGTAGTGGAGAAATGACCCCAAAATAGAAACAGAATTTTTACTAACCGCAGCGCAGGAAAACTGTATGAAGGCAAATTGTACGGAAATAAAAAAAAAAAAAACAAAAATCCTCGAAAAAATAGTAAATGTTGCTTTACTATAAGTAACACTGTTTAAAAAAACAATACAAAATCATATACGACAGGGTAGGAATGGTGGTATACTAGGAACTGAGCAAACGATGTGATTTTACCCGTGTAAACAAATGGTATCAGTATAAATCAAACTCACTCCTAAAAACAAAATATCAAAGTGAGACTTCGAAGATGGGAGTGGAATTTTGACGTCCATACCGATTACTTCAACAAGGCAAAAAAAAAAAAAAGCGAAACCGATAGGCGTAAAGAAGGAAAAGGGAACTTGATAGGTTAGGCTAGTAACTACGAAATCAGATTCAAAAGTGAAGAAGAAATGAAATGAACTATTGAGAAAATAACACGACTTTGTTCGGTTCATATGAGAAATGTTAAGGTCGTGCCAATAATAGATGACACACTTGGAAGCCTGCCCAGAACACTAGAGTGAAAATTAAATGACTGAGACCACCAGGGAAGAACTGCCATTATTCTGGTACCGTAAGTACTTGAGTCTTTAAATATATTCTGAATATTGGTACAGAGTTAAAAAAAAAAAAAAAACCTTGCACAAGTTCCATTAATAATCACCAGACATCTGCGACGATCGGGTGTCTAACAATAATATGAATAAGAACATGGACGTTTCAAAAGAGGTAAGTGACTGCAGAACATATCGCTAAATGTAAGCGCAAGTTCTATTCTAATATTTTCTTCTCTCACACTTTGCGCCAAAGTAACCTTCTCCCAGCTTCTTGCTTTCGTAACAACTGCAATCTAGTAAAATTTAAACGAAACATCAATCGTCATTTACTGTCTCCTTGAAACCTGTTCAGTTTATTGTCATTTCTACTGAGTAACGTTTTCTCATTTCTTTCATTCTATTGTCTTTCATCTTCTGTAGTCTCTTACATCCTAGTGGCTTTATTGCCTTGCTTGGTTTGAGATGATTAAAAAAGGACATTGCATCGAACAGGCTTGGTAATGACAGGTTTAGGTTTAGGGTTAGAGTTATTCTATAAGCAATGCCATTGAGACAAAGAATGTGTAAATGTAGACTTTGCAAAGATTACATCGAGATTTATCATCATCATCAACATCATCATCGTCCCCTTGATTTTTGTAATCGTAAGGCGGAACCGAATGCAGAAGTCATACTAACTCTTTTTCACAACTGTCTATCAACGGCAGCCATCAACAATTCTCGTACAGTCATACCTATACATTGTCTGACATTGTCCAACTAGTTTTTTTGTTGAAGTCTTCTCCTAAGTCCACCTTCAACGGTGCCTTGCATGATAGTCTTGCACAGGCTGTCGGGCCTTGTAATGTCGCCAAACCACGCCATTTGATAAGTTCTCCACTGCTTTAGCCGGATATTGAACTCACAATCTTTGGGTCCTGTGACTGGATCTAACTAACGCCTTTATTCAATGTGCCATGTGTCCTTCAGAGGGAAATTGACGGGAGATAACTGATAACTGACATCCATTAAACATGGCACGTGGAACTAGAACAGTCTTCCCAGTGAGCGAAATTCCAACCACCTGAAGAAGGCCGGAGCGTACAACGGCCGAAACGTTGTAATAAACATGGCGACAAAGATGAGGACAATAGTCCGAATAATGTAAATAATGTATCTTTTATTACTAAACATTCTCTGATTGCTAATAAAGATATTTTAATTTTATTTTCTTTAGATTTGTAGACATGATTTTTTTTCTTATTAATATAAGATTATGATTCCCCAAAGTGTCTCATGTCCCTATGAAGAAAAAAGCAACCAATCCAATACTGAGGACGCATTTTAACCTAATATTTATAGATTAATAAATTTAAAATTATTTACCAAAATAACGTAAGGATAATCTTATAAAGATCTCATGACAACTCTATTAAAACGAAATAAAACAAAAAACACGGCACTTTGTAAAACTTAATGTATTCAATATAACAATTGAATTTCTGTTATCAAAATAATTTCGTACGTCGTTTTAGGCTGTATTACGACCATATTCCGCCTCAAAACCGTTTTACGTCCGATTACTGAAATTAAGCAACGTCGAGCCTGGGCAATATTCGGATAGTTGACCACTGGAAGGTACCAGATGCTATAAGCTATGCGACAGGACTAAAAGGCTGGTGATGGATAGAATCCCAATATTTATACTAACTGATTGCCTCGATATGTGGACGTGCTCCTGGGCCCTCAGCTCGCAAGAACTGTCCAGAATTAGGTGAGTGGTGAATCAAAGGACGTGCGGGTATGTAATGGGTCCCCCCCCCAAAAAAAAACAAAACAAACAAAAAAGTGTAATACTACAATCAGCAAAAAGGAGAAGGAGTGTATTCGAAGGGTTACTGCACGGAATTGTCACTTTTTACATTTACTCAGTAGGCACATAATTTCTGAAGAGGAAAACTGAAAACATTCAGACCACAACCTTGCCAAAAATCAACAAGAATCCTGAAGAAAATACAATGATAATTAGTGGACTTTGATTTCCTGTGATAACTGCCAGAAATATCTGTACTTTTCAAAAATGGAGCTTTGCTGTAATATCTAGACTGGAACCGCTTAATGTCCTCTTTCCAAGGTTGATAGAATTCAAAATCATTTACGCAGTTGTGCGCGTGTGTGTGTGTGCGCGCGCGTGTGTGTAGTGCGGGAGGGGAGACTTATTCTTCAATCTGAAGCCTCTTTCCCACATACATAACGGCACAAGCCTATCACTACTCTGTCGCTATTTCCATGGCAAACGTTCCCCTTGTTTAGAGCATTACAGCTAAGAAACTCCCAGCTATTTCCATGTAGTCAAAACACCCGCATTTTCTCGCCATAATGTGAACAAATCGGAATTCAAGAGGGGGACAATCCTGAAATTAAAACCAGTTGTGCGTGGGGATATCAACTTCATCGTATATACGAGTTGCTATGGAAATCTAGCATCAATACCTTGCGTGTTGTGAGCTGTAGCCTCATGCTCCTCAGAGAGTCTACGGGACTTGAGTGAGTTTTACATATAGGTAGCATAATTGCCGTCATTTTTTTTTATACATTTCATGATTATTTTTATTTGTCATTCATTCAAATTTTTATTCATTGTTTCATTCATTCATTTTAACACATGCAACGTCAATCACCATTTTCTGCCTTCCAGATACCTGTTCTTTTATTGTCCATTTTCCTCACGAGCGTGTTTTCATTCTCTTTCACGTTTGGTAATCCCTTACGTATTAGTGGCATTATCTCCTAGCTTGAAGTGAAACGATTAAAATAATTCCTACTTTTATTTGTTATTTCATTCATTATTTGTCATTCATCCTTCATCCAAAATTTTATTCATTATTTAATTTGTTCATTTTTCGCTTATCTTTCCTTCATTATTTCTGCTGTTTTCATTCTTCTTCTTTTCCACCGAAGTTAAATTCTTAAACATTTCTTTCTTCATTTTCAAACTTTTCTTTTTTCTCACCTTCTTTCATTTCATTGACAGCTAACATTTATTTTTCATTCTTTTTTCTTTTTTTAAATCCAGTTTTCTGCCTTCTTTTATATTCTTTTTTATTATGAATTTTTACAACGTCTTCTTTTTCCTTCACTTTTCTTCCTTCTCCGCCATCATTTACACCAACATCACACACAACCTCTCACGTGTGAACATGAATAATTAGACAAAGATAGACTTGGTAGATAACGTCACTCTTTTGTGAATCTGCAATTAGTCGTCACAATTTTTTTCCCCTTTCACTTCTTTTATAGTATTTTTATCGTTTCATTTTTAAAAGACATCTTTTGCTGCAAAGCGACAATTACCGCCTGTCGCTCAAAATATTCTTTCTTTTATGAGTCCCTTATATATATATATATATATATATATATATATATATATATATATATATATATATATGGCGTATTTCATTCTTTTTCCTACTATTTCTTTCTCGAGTTATATTCCGTGTGTAAATGGAGAAAAGCAAACGATGACTAAACTTTAATACAAATTGTGTTCACCCGGCGACGTATAAAGCGATAGATATCACGTGATTATCGCTGGCAAAATCTCGTGCTAATGAGATTACGACCGCCATCTTAACAGCTCCTAGAAGCGTCAAATCTTATGTTCTGACCTGTTGTAGACACCAGCGAGTTCCTATGGAACGGCGCCATCATCCCCCAACACTTAGTATTTTGTGTTTTGTCGGCACTAACAATAGCACCACGCCCACCTACAACTTATATTCTTTTTTTTTATACCCTTAAAGATATGTTTTAACTGTTCCTTCTTTCAAATTATATACCAGATTTCAAGAAAATGTTTGTTTTAATTCTATTTGATAATAATAATAATAATAATAATAATAATAATAATAATAATAATAATAAATAAATAAATAAATACTTCCGATTCTGATGCTTCTGATCTTAGTCAGTTGG